CCCCCCCCCTAACCTTATAATTTTTTAAAATCCTTCTTCTTCTGTGGGAATGAAAGGATTTGTTCCATAATTGGTGTGGAGCATCCTTGGGTAAAGGGGAACCATTTTGTATAATCGGTGGGTGTGCCCCCCCTGGGACCTGAGGGGCGGGGCCCAATAGGGGAAATATAGGTAAAACCTTTATAACCCTTCTTCTACCTTATTATCCTAATTTAGTCTGGAGCATCCTTGGGCAAAGGGAACTCAATTTTGTTTAAGCAGTGGGTGTGGTCTCCCAGGGTGCAAAAGGGTGGGGCCCAAGGGAGAAATAGAGGTAAAATCGTTAAAATCCTTCTCCGACCATCGGGATTAAGGGATTTTATCCTGATTTAGTCTGGAGCATTCTTGGGCCAAGTTGACTCAATTTTGTATAAGCAGTGGGTGTGGACTCACAGGGATCAGAAGGGCGGGGCACAATAGGAGGAATAGAGGTAAAACCTTTAAAATCCTTATCCGACCATCGGGATTAAGGGATTTTATCCTTATTTAGTCTGGAGCATCCTTGGGTCAAGGAGACTCAATTTTGTATAATTGGTGGGTATGACCCCCTCCCCCCAAAGTAGGATATAGAGATATGTGTAATAAATTAACATATTTGCAGCACTCTAATATCAAAGAAAAATATCAAAAATCTGAATTTTCTTTCATCTAACCGATATATTCTCGTTCTTCATTTTTGGCGGAAAAAAGGTGAAAAATAGTCCAAAATTAAAAATGGCCTCAATTTTTTCCCCCAAAGGGAATCTTTCAGGATTTTTTTTCTATCATACTAGAGACATTGATGAGTTGAAATCAGAAGAGTTTGATAACATCGTAATTTTTTCCCCAGGTTCGACCTTTTCCACCGACCTACTACATGTATGATACGGAATATATCTTCATACCTGGAGTTTGAGACTATAAATCCTACAAAGTGTCAAGAATACTTGTCTAGTACAGGTGTGGGGCTATTAACTTCCCAAACGCCTAAACATATAAGTTATTTTTTCTCTCAGACAAATAATTGTTTCAAGTGTATCAACGAGACACTTTATTGATGTATGATTTACTACTGTGTGCAATTTATGAATAAGTCATATATTTTTTTCCATTGTCAAAACATTCTTCGAGGAATTTTTTTTCAAATTGATGTTTCATTGGAAGAAAGCGTGCTGAAAGTTATACATTTCAGGTATACATAAATAAGACTTGCATGGGATTCCGTTGAAAGTATTAAATTTATGTAATGGGAGCTGGAACAGTTAGGAAGGCATCTACCATGAATATGAAGACGAGTTCAATAATCATGTATCACATATACATTGTACATTGCTGGGCTAAAAGATATGTTAATATATTATAACTTTTAGTATGCACGGTATATATTTGTGTAATTGACTGTTGCATAGGACACAGAGCGTGCGAGTATCTCAGACATATCGAGTTTGTTATACCCATACAAAAGGTAAAACCAATATATCAAACTGTGTATGTCAGTGTAGGACAAATGACGGACCTTTACCAATACCATTGTCCAAGTTGGGCTAAATGCTTGAACCACATTCCGAAGTACCGAACTAAGGTAAGGATCGCCGTAAGCATAACGGCGTATTTACAAACCAACCAAATTATCAGCATACATGTCACACAGGGTCGCATTCAGGTAACGATAAGGCCGGGGTTCGATCCCCGAAGTCGTCGTACGCATGGATATTCAGAGAAAGTGTTTTTCTCCTGCCCACACATGTACAACTCCAACAACCAAGGTGGAGTATAAATTGGTCTGGGGTGGATGTTGCGGTATCTGTGTTGAAGCAATTAAGTGAGGTGGCGCTATAAATGATGTTTGAAGCACGGTCCCACTACAAAAAGGACACATTACATCTCAAGCACACACGCAGGCATACACACATAGGGAGATATTAGCCAGGTGGCATAGGACTAGTAGTTAGCGCCTGATAAGGCAGCTCCTGCGAATTCCTAAAAAAATTGTATGGATTAATGTCTATGCTAATTATATAAATTGTATATCTATGTAATGTAAAGCGCTTTAGAATCGCTTATGTTAGCTAGATAAGGCGCTATATCAAATGCTGTACATTATTATTATATCGGGGTGGTCAGCTGACGGGAAGTTAGTAAGGAAGAACAGGCGGGAAATTGAAGCGTGCAGTATGTGTTCCGGTCATTCAAACTATTTATGTAATTTGTCGTACTGTCCGAAGTCCAGGTCAGTGTTAGTCATTTACATAACATAACAACACAGGACAATGTCAAGGTCACTTGACTGTACAAGACAATACCTAGGTAGGCTACGTGCATATACATGTATATTATATGTACAAAGTACACTGGGTTACATATATATAAAGTCTAACCTGTTTTATGTTTGGGTTATGAATGCTATAGAAAATATTGAGCATTATTTTGTCGAATGTCAATCGTATGTAGAAGCCAGAAATACCCCCAGGAGACAACTTTCAGGGAATTTGAATTGAGCTTGTTGAACTGCTGATTAACTGTTGTATGGTTTGCTAATGAAAATTGTTTTCTTTTCATATCAGTTCAAGAATACATTAAAAATTCAAAACGGTTTAGTTAA